GAGAGAGAGAGAGAGAGAGAGAGAGAGAGAGAGAGAGAGAGAGAGAGAGAGAGAGAGAGAGAGAGAGAGAGACTGCTACGGTGGGCAGGCCGTAGGTGTGGAGGGCAGAGGTGAGTGGAGGTGGAGGTGATGTGGGCAGAGGCCTAGGTGAGGTGGGCGGAGGTGAGCGTAGGTGGAGGTGGGAGCAGAGATGAGTGGAGGCGGAGAAGAACTGGCGGGGGAATGCCGATGGAGAAGTGGCAGAGGAATCCCAAGGAGTGAGGGGAGGCGGAGGGGAGGGGACCGGCGGGTGGAGGTGTAGGCGAGGTGGCCACCGAGCAGAGAAGAGGTGGGTGGAGGCAGGGAGGAGATGGTGGACGGTGGCGGAGAGGAGATGGCAGGAGGAGGCGGAGGGGAGGTGGGCGGAGGTGGAGGCGAGGTGGGCGTCGTGCGGAGAAGAGGTGGGCGGATGCGGAGAGGAGATGGTGGGCAGAGGCCGAGAGGAGATGGTGGGCGGTGGTGGAGGGGAGATGGCTGGAGGAGGCGGAAGGGAGGTGGGGGGGGGCGGAAGGTGGGAGCCGGCAGCGGAGTCAAGGTGGGCATGCGGGAGGGCCCGTTGGACTTCAATGCAGGGAAAGCACCGCCCTGCAACGGGCCCTATTTCCAACGGGCGCACCAATCCACGCCGCCCGCGGTCCTACCGGCCCGACGGTCCAGATTTCCGCGCGATCTTAAGACTATGATCCAGGCCATCCAACCTGCTGGACGGTCTTGATCGCCGCACGATCTTTAAGGTCTTAAGATCGCGCGGAAATCCGGACCGTCGTCTGGTAGACCACGGGTGGCACGGATCGGCCAAATCTCACGTACCGAATAGCGATTTCTGTAACTGTAGGGATACATGCATATGGAACAAATATCATATGACATATATGTGAATAATGTGAGCCACCAGTCTGAGTCCTGCATTTGGTGGGGGACCGCAATATTTTTTATTTTTATTTTTATTTTTTTAACCACCACTACCTTTCCCATATGTCGGCCCCGGGCATCTAGTAGCCTACTCCTGAAAAACAGCTGCCACGCCGCCGTTGATCTTTTTCATTGACTGCGCGTAGCAGCCGAATTTGAATTTGAGGCCCGCGGCCCCACATATGAGAAAGGTAGTGGTGGTTTAAGGGAGGGCAAGATTAAAATTACTCTGGCAAAGAGTCAGAGTCATTTTAATATTGCCCTCCCTTGAAAAAAAATATATATATAATATACATATATATTGCCCTCCCCCACCAAATGCAGGACTCCACAGACTGGTGGCTCTGACGAACCAGCCACACTCGGTTCCAATCAGCAGTCACGGTAGACTGCAAACGAGTCGGGTATGGGAGGGAGAGTGTCAAAGGATTCAGAGGAACAAGTGTTTCCCCGGCCGAACTGGGCAGGGTTAGAACATGGATTGATTACTTAGGGCAGGGAGGGAAAGTAGGAATGGTAGAATTAGCTCTGTTATTTGTTTTCTGTTCGTGTATAAGCGAAAATGGCTAAGGCTGCCAGAGGTTACTCCGGGTGGAATTGTGGGGACCCCAGCCCTGACTGCATATTTTTCGAAATGAAATGTCAACACGCTAATAATAATTAAAAAAAAAAAAAACTCTGGCGAGCCAAATCCGAGGGCGGAAGGCACATTTTCAAGACTGCTCTCCGATCACCACCGGGTCTTGGCAAGTGAGCCATTTTTTCCTGCAACCTGAGTTCGTTGCCCTCTCTATCGACAACCGTCTATCGGCAACGCTCTTCATTCACATGATAAATTTCTCAAGCTCATGAAGTACCGCATAGTATGGCTTGAATCATCGGTCAGGTACAAGAAACAGTAACAATTCTTGAATTCAGCTTCAGCTTATGTCGAAAGAGGCAGCTCACAAAATAGCATGAAATAACACAGCTACACCGGCAAGGCATTACATCCTGATGAGTCAGTCAAAGTCCTTATCAAACAGATTGTCACATCCATTCCATACATTTCTCGTCCTTCTCTCGCTTTCTGCCTCCAACTCAAGCTAAAGGCTCCAATGGGCCGGCTTTCAGCAGGCGCTTTTCTCCGTGGTACGAAAGAACACAATATTGGCCCCGTCACACCACTCACCAAATGTGAAAAAGACAAAAACAATCGCTGGTGCATTTGTCAGGTTGTAGCAGAAGATGCATTCTCCATTTAATACATTTGGTGAGTGGTGCAGCAAGGCCCTAAGTGTTCTGAGCACATTCAAACACGGAAGAGGTGAAAACAAAAGAATGTATAATGATGCTGAACAATAAAGGCGCTCGCTTCTCCGTGAAAATATATCTACAGTGTGTACTGTGAGGACATCCAAAAATGGAAGAGGTAAGAACGAAAGAAAATACAATGACGAACTACAAGGTCTCACCACACGGCACACAATGCAAACAAAACGAAGAAGGGAAAAAAAAAAAAAAAAAAAAAAAGGGCATCTATCTTCTCACACAAACTGAAAAGATCCATCCACTATTATGAATAGTGAATGAATGTATTTTGCCACCTTCTGGGGGCAGATGCACCCCTTTTATTACCATTCCCTGTGCCCTGTGGTGAGGCCAATAAGGCTGCATCCTTTCACATCAGATGTGGGGTCACATCGGGCACAAGTTTGCGAACTTTCGTGTGGTTGACCAGGGAATCTGTATATGTCCTATGACAACTAATAGTGGGACCACACAACTGCCCCACTGGGCACTCAGAAGAACATTTGCAATCCTGATTAATACATGCTAACATCCAACATTCAACCTTCCATTTGCACTACATCTCAACCATCCATCTGCCAGTCGCACTGTGCTAAGCATGTCCTATGACAGCTGTTAGTCAGACCACACAACAACTGATCCAAATGCATGCTAACACCCAACATCCAATCATCATCCACATTTGCACCACAAAACAACCATCCATCTGCTAGTCAAACCAGGGTAAGCAGACCTACTGGTGTAGGCCACGATTCTGATTCGGTAACCCATTTGTGCGAGCGCGTGAACACTTGCTGGCTGGCCAGTTCAGTATATCCGCGAACTGCAGGCAGTGAGAACTTAGCGCTAAATGTTTGATTTCACAAACAAAGTGTCTACATGTGCGAAAGTGTGTGCTTTCTAAATCACCTAATATCAACACCGATCCACCCAAAATCAACACAGGTCAGGAAGAGTGCAACACTGGCCACCTTTGCGTGGTTAAGCGCCAGTGCCCACACAGACATCTGCCGCAAAGGCACACCGGCATGCCGTTCAGAAAAGGTGGGCGGGCATGTGTGTGTGTGGGTGTGTGTGGGTGTGGGTGTGGGTGGGTGGGTGTGGGTGGGTGTGGGTGTGGGGGTGTGTGTGTTTGTGTTTAAATTTCCCCCACAACAGACCCAATTCCACTCAGGTGAGTAGACTCAGAATCGAAGCAGCTTTTGTCCTATTGCAGACCATGAGAGCACTTGAGTTGAGACACTCCAACATTTAAGCGATTTTACAATTTGAGAGTTTTTTGGTTATCCTTGGGTTACCCCTTCCATTTGTTCTGGCAGGTCCCCTTTTACTGTGCCTCGCACGTACAAGGCTGCCTATGTTGATTGTGGTTGAGCGGCAGCTGCCTACATTCCCATCTGCCTTAATGGCCCACTTGCACGTTATGAAAGGAGGCAGAGTAAAGGGGAAGGTAGACTCTTGTTCATTTCACTTCAGATCTTCATCTTATACTTTGTCTGTTCTCTTAATGATGCTCATTCGTATGTTATTTGTTAGTAGCGTGTATGTGTGTGTGTGTGTCGGTCCATGCTAAGCAGGTATTCGTACTTAGCTTTGGTGTGTGTGTATCTGCCCAACAATAGCTCGCATAGCACCTTGGCTTGGTGTGTGCATGTGTATGTCTATGTGCGTGTATGTGTGCCAGAGTGTGCACGTGTATTGTGGATTGTCACCAGAACAGCCCCTGTTCCACCCAGATGAGTAGATCCAAAATCAATGCAGCTTTACCTCTATTGCAGACATGAACCACACTAATGATGAACCGATCCAACAATGAAAGCGTTTTACCTCTACAGCAAGCAAAACGACGCACAACAGATCCGTTGTATCCCTCTCTTGACTATCTTTTTTACTCTGGTTTTCTTCGGGGTAACCCTTTTATTTGTTATTGCAGCTCCCCATTTACTGTCCCTCTGTGTGTCAGTGTGTGTATGTGTGTGTATATGTGTGTGCGCTAGATAGGCACATTTGCCTCTTTGAAGGCACAAGTATCTGTGCGCAAGAATGAGCATCTGTGTGAGGGTTTGTGTCTGTGTGTGCCAGTGCATGTGTCCCTGTGAGGCAAGAGTGGGTGTTGTCGGGGGAGGACAGTGTTTATGTGTGCAAGAGTTCTGGCCCGCACTGCCCAGTTCTCACCTGTATGTCACTTCGTCATCCATGGATCCTAGACGCAACTTGCAAAACGCTTCGCAGACACTTGAAACTAACTTCAGGGCACAATCCTATCGATACACGTCTGCAAGATAGATTGGTGGGCCTTGACCATCAACACAGAGCTGAGCACCTCAACGCCTCCTTATTAACCGGGCCCATTCCTTCCCGTTGAACGTGCAAGATTGGTGGTGACCATCACCTCCTCCCAGTGGAGAGGGAGAGTGAATGTAGTTCCGGGAAGGATACGTTGCCTGCCAGGTAAATTCGAGCAGAGCCTCTGCTGGAATTGAATTTCTTCTGCCAACCAGAGCAATGGAGTTGCTTCCAGAGTGAAAATTTGGAGTACAGCAGAGGTCTCTTGCATGCTACCTGTATGCCATGGCGACACGAAATAAGAGGCATGGAAGACAAATGTTATGGACGAATTGATTTTGATTACTGCATCTTTTGCTTCCAACAGCGAGTTCGGGGAATGCAGAATGGCAGCAGTAGTGAAAGGGAGGTTTGAGGCAAGTTGCCTTGCTTTCAGAATATCAAATCATATGGTTAGAATAATAAGAACACTAATTAAAGGCATTAGTTTAAAAACAAAAGAAGGCGAATTCCGGTTTGAATATTAAAAAGTTTGCTTTAGGAAACTGCAGTTAAGATCGAATCCAAAGAAGTCACACTCGATAAATGAGTTAGAAAAATCACACTTACTGCGCGCAAATTCAAAAACTCACACCTAACAAACTAATTAGATTCACACCTAACAAACCAATTAGATTATGCAGCAAAACTTGTTCGAAGGTATGTGGAGACTGAGCGAATGGCCACTAGTTCAGTTGGTCGAGCAGTAGTGGCTAATGCACCTTTGTGGTTTAGGGTGCAGATTCAAATCCTTCGGCCTGCACTTCATGCATTTGCACAGACATGGACGGGTTGGTGCACCTTAGGGCCATTTAGTTTGGAACACGGTAAGGACTACAGACACCACATGTCCCACCCAAGGGTTCAAAGCCCATGGTTGTAGTATGCTGGAGCAGGCTTTGGGACGACTGTCAAAGTAGTTGGTCTTTGGTCACGTCTCATGTACTTACCATGGGCTGGTAGGGATAGGATTAGGGGTAGTTGGGGTTAGGAGGGAGGGGAAGAAGGATTACGAGGATTGCAACAAACTTCGAATAATAGGCCTCGTTCGTAGGCCCCTTGGCCCTCCATGCAACAGTAGGAACTGCCTGAAACAGATGAAACCGCTGCATAGTGATCTAGGACCTCCACCTGCAACAGACTTGCCAATATGTACAACCATCTTCACTCGAATGCAACGTACGGTCATTATAGCTGTATTTTGGGGTGATTTTGAGTCTAGATACAACAATAATGACTGTACGGTATCCGGGTGAGGACGGTAGTTTGTGGATGTGTCATGGTAGAATCTGTGTACTACTATGTACCCAAATACAATGTACGGTCATTATAGCTGTACTTGCGCCAACTTTGGGTCTAGATACAGCAATAATAACCCTACATTTTATTCGGGTGAAGACGGTAGTCTGTGGATGTGTGATTGTAGAGTCGGGGTACTACTATGGAGTTTCCCGTCATCATGGTAGACTCATGAGAGCCCATAGACAATGAACTTAGGTCAGGAATGGTCCAGATCTCTACTCACACGCTTGGGTAGTGGTAGCAGAAGGGTGTCAGGCATATACGATTCCTAAGGGCGGGCTTCACATACACATCTCATGATGCCTGAATGCTGAGCTTCATCCCGGCTGTTGTCTGTGCGAATTCCCATTCAGAGTTCGATGGGGATGTGAATCCTAGGGTGGTCTCGCGTGGGGGGGTCGTTTATTGCATCCAAAGTAGAAGGGTGGTTAGCTACCTATAGAGTTCTGCTGGATGTGATACAGGGTGCGAATGACTGTATAGGACCCCTCCTGTGTCCGGGTCATCCTCAAGAATCCGGGGTGCCCCTATATAGTAAGTAAGCACCCGGAGGAATAGTCTGCGACCTTCGGCAGGAGTGGACAATGCAGGTCTAGGTCTAGTTTAGGGTCTAGGATGCAACACTGTAGGGCTCGACTTACAATAAAATGGTTGTTATGCAATGATATTCCCTCGGCACCATATGCAGCCATCCAAATCTCCGCCCTGGCCCCACAATGCACAGATAGCAACCGTGTCCATCCACTGCAATGGTTAACTAACAAACACTGGTCGCTCCCGGCATCCCCCCCAAACAGAAGGGATGACACGCCCGCCTCCACAGCCAAATGGGACCTCAAGGCCGACCCCCTATGGACAGATATGCTGCGTCTATGGAGAGAACGAGGACCGGCCCAAAAACCTGTCCCACTTAGATGGGACGAAATATGGAGACAACCTATGTTTGGGAACCCATGCATACTAGATCACACAGGTAAACCATTCTCACTGCAATCAGGCTCGAGATGGCTCCCCTGGGTGAGAAAAGGGATAAACACAGTTGCTGATTTGTGGAATGTCCACGCAAGCACGTGGCTATCGGTCCAGGACCTTCGACAAAAATTGCACCTGTCAGAAAGCCGGAAGAGGGACTGCAAGAGATCCAAGAGGCTGTCCCCCTGGCATGGGTCCTGGAACTTAACAGAGGCTCGACAATACGGCAGGGTGACTGGGTGGTACGACCAGAGGACTGGACCGATCCCGATGGTACTATACAATGTAGAGGCAGTTAACCCTCAAGAGGCGAGCCTTAAGGCGTATACACCACACCTCCCAGGGGAAAGATGGTCCAAACTGGACCATCACGACGGCCTCGGCCGTCGGACACCTGCCGCAGGACTCGTTAGAATATGTGTGATCAGTGACAGTGACAAAGGACTCTTCGTGTATGAACCGGCCATCCCCCTCTGCCAGCTGCCATTCGACCCACAAGAATGGGAATTGGACATGGGCGACTCCCGTAAACTGCAGATATGGCAGTACACAGTAAAGGATGGGTACAAAACAGCAAGGAAACCGGCACACATATCCGAACCGATCAGACTGCGGTGGGCAAGAGACTCGCCCCTCAACACAGAAGACCTTAAACCACCAGTACACGGCCCCAGCCTTGCAGAAAAATGAACCTGCTACCACAAGAAGATTCTGCGCCTTGGGGAAGGCCCGGTAGTGCACCGTGAGGAGAAGCCGCTGGGCCCAACAACAAAGGGCAAATGGACTGTGGTGTTGCTCCTGGTTCATTCCGTGCATGTGGGAACATGCACGGCCGCAGAAATAGCAGAATGCCCTGCCTCGCTGGCAGGGATCATGATGGAAAAAAGAAAACCTTTCATTGCAGTTATGGGCAGGCCTGGATGAATCTGATCGCAATCACATCCAGAGCGTAGCTGAAAAAGTGTCGGTGTGAATTTGCCCTTTCTTTTTTTTTCTCTTAAAAAAACAGGTGTTTGTCATTTCTGAACACACTCACTGCCTCCCCGCCTCCAGCCCGTTTCTGGTAAGGGCATAATAGCACCGCCACTTTCCCGAATGTATATGGCTGCAATAATGGCCCCACCTGAATGAATCTGATGGTGAACATGGGCCTTTTCTTTTTTTTTTTTCGCCCATTGTTTTTCAAAAAGAAAGAGAAACCTATCGCCATTCTGAAATCACTCCCCGTGAGAGGTGGGGAGGAAGTGATTCAGAGTGTCAGGCCCTTTCTTCCCAGGGCACACTCAGGGCATACTCGCACTAGCACTTTTCAAAACGCATCGGTCCTAGTGTGAGTATGCCCTCAGTCTAGCTCTTTCCTGAATGTATCTGGTTGCGATAACGGCCCGTCTGAATGAATCTGAAGGCAAACCTGAAGGCAAACGTGCGCCCCTTCACTTTCTTTTTCCCTTTGTTTTTCAAAAAGTAACAAAAGAGTATCATCCTTCTGAAAAAAAAAAAAAAAAAAAAGAAATCACTTCCCGTGAGAGGCGGGGAGGACGTGGTTCAGAGTGTCAGCCCGTTCTTCCCAGCGCACACTCATGCTAGCTCTTTCCCGAATGTATCTGGCTGCAATTAGGGCCATGCATGGATGAATTTGAAGGCAATAATGTTCAGGACGTCGGAGCTTGTCTGGGTGGCTAGTGAGTGAAAACATCGTCCTCCTTTCAGTCCAGCAGGTCCACCACTCAATCCGAACAAGGCCAGTACCGGTACCGACCTCTACTTTCCAAGAGCTGGTACCGGTCGCTTTCAGGCTCGGCAAAATTCAAAACTTTGGCTCGTACATTTAGCCTTGGGTGTACTGGTGATTTAACACAATCAGATGGGCCACATACTCGGCTATACGACCTACTAACCTGCGTGTGCTGCGGTGGCAGATCATTCACAGGTGTCTACCTACCCCGGACTGGATTGTGTCTAGAACAAATTTGGAAGCCCAGGGTGAGCTGTCTCCACTCTGTACCTACTGCAGTGGGACCTCCCCCAAGAAACGAGCCACACTCGAACATTGCTTGCTGGACTGCACCATGGTGGCTCAGCTCTGGCAATGGTGGGATGCAACATGGCATCCTCTAATGGGCAACCACCTCCCATGGGACCTCAAGATCATCCTGTTGGGAGAAACGCCCCTGCAAGGGGCTAGGTGGACACCCTTCAGCCTTAACCTGCTGCAGTAACACGACTACCAATGTTAACAGTTGCGTGGCGAATGAGACGTGCGCATGAGCACAGGCAGCACACATATGGCTATATGGAGGCTCGGGCCTCAATTCTAGAAACAATCATCGTCAACACACAGGTGGCCTGGCAAGAGCTCAGAAACATGCTGCGGAAGGAATCAGATATAACCAAACGGGATGTAATCTCTGATAACTTTCGCTCTATCTGGGTGGACAGTGCAGAAAAACTCTGTGAATTGGATCAAGACAACCAGCTGCGATGGAAACAGTGGATGCTGACGGAATCACAATGGGAACGCTTACCGAGAAGCCATTTTCAGTTCGCATTCCAACCGACCAATTTCATCCTTCTCGCGGGCTGACAATACTCGATACACACCCGGATCTTCTCCCCCCCCTTAATGCCCCCTCCCCTGGACCTCTCCAAACCCTCCCCCAACTCCCCCCTTAATCCTGCCCCACTACCCTCCCTCCCCGTCCACACCCGCTCCCCACTCTCTACGTGGAAGGCCGGCCAAGCAGGGACTTCCCACTGGAGGAGAAGCAGAGGGGATTACTCCCTGGAGACAGAAGATGAAGTCAGGACCCATGTCCGGACAATGGACCCAGACCAGACCGGGATGAGCTTTAGATGGCAATATACATCTATTCGCGGATAACAGACTGCTCCCCACAGCAGGAAGGTTGACACAGCAATGGAGATCGAACTTAAGGATGATAATATGATGACAACGCAATGAC